CTTGTAAATACCTAGCAAAATCATTTGAAAACCATAAGGTATACTTTCTACCATCATTTCCTTTGTTTCTACCCGAGCAGATCATTAAAATTCAATTGGGCCGATTTCTGTAGAAATCGCCCCCCGTCCTTTCACCAAATAACGAGTCTACTCTTTCAGCGATTCCACAATCACTAATTAGTTAAACCTTAGTTTTTATAGAAAAATGTGTCCCCTATAATCTTCTATTGATTACTGAAAACCGCAGATCGCTATGACTTTTCGTTAGAAAGTTCGAAGCTTTTTTCCACCGGCCTTCTTTTAAAATTCTGATAGTAGTCCAAAAATTTTAGATGTTTTCGATTGCAGATACTATGCAAAAGTATCAACAGTTTTTAGTTATCATTCAGTATTGTATCAAATATCGACTTACATTAATCACAAATCTTGTTATCTGATAAACCTTTTTTATTGATTTCTGAGTGAACTTTATTATGTTAAGCATAGATAATAAGCATTTTAGGTTTGTCTTTCAATACGGCACCGTAGATCAGTCTACAATATGCCAAATCAATTCTTACATGACTTTGGAGTATTCAATGTGTACTTGTGAAAACGTTATGAATCTGACTTCAATAGGCCTCAATTTGGAGAAATTATTCCTTTCAAAATTACAATTGTAAAGAGGCTTCTACTATGTCACTGTAACTATCTAAGTAGTTAAATCTTTTTATCACAGTGAGTACTCTATCAGATCTTGCTATGGTCAAATGTCAGCTCTCTAACATGAACTTTTCATGAGATATGCTTAGGTACCAAAAATAGAATAACAATAATTTTCAATTTTCTCATGCACTTGATAGTATTTGTTTATGTGAAGCTATTAGCATTGTGTTCATCCACACGCACACCCGTACCCCTATTTTGAATTTATGTTTTACTTGAGTCAACCATGTTCAAGATTATAGACTGACTTTATGGATGTCGGCTCGTCCAAGCGTAACGCAATGACGATTTGTCCGCTGTGTCTCTAAATTTTCTCAGCAACAAAATCACTTAGAAATTTGATTTTTTCGTCGGAAGGTGTGTCTCCTTATGTACTCTTGAAATCCGGTATATTTGAGTTTCTTTATCAAAACATTCTGAAAATCATAGCAAAAATATACAGCGTAACGCGATGATGGACAAGGGACAATAATTTGAGTGTTGTACTCGTTCTTTGTTTTTCTCCAAATGTATATTATCTTGAACAAAATATTTCACAATAAATTTGTAGTAAACACTCTGGAGTATTAATGCGAAAAAGGTTTTTTTCGAAAAGGTTTCTCATTAATTGTGAAACTTTGGTCACATTAACGTTACGCGATGACGTAAATTGGAAAAATAAAAACCTATTTCTGCTATTAGCGTATCCACAATGGTGAATAAATGCGAGTTAAATCTCATGTTCTGAAAACCTCAAATAGCTTTTACACATTTTCTCTCTTATTACATCGGATAATACTGGTGATATTTAGACCTGATTTTCTAAACCCACCGACATTGAAGGTGACGCGTTACGTGGACAAGCCGGTGTATGATTGATATACGGAACAGTATTTTGCTAATAATTTATTAATATCAATAGCTAGAGAGTTTTGGTTTTCATCATTCAGTAGCTCTTTTGGAAAGTTTCAAAACTGTATATTTTCGAAGTTCAAAAACCACTTATCACTTGAGATATACTTAGACATCTTAGTCTCGAAGCACAGGTCCTTCACATTTTAGACCTTTTTTTAGCTCGTTTTCAATTGAAAAGCAAAGACTTGAATCGAAACCCACACAATATTCGAAATCAGCGTGAAAAAAATGAACCTATTCATATGAGTTTCAAAGATTTCTAGGAGAATTTTTTCGAAGTAAAAATGGCCTTATACTCCGCCCCGTGAGAGTTCATGAAAAAATGATTTCACTCAAAATGGTGTTTTTATCGTTTTGACTTTCGTCATTTTTCTTCGGTTCAAAATTGGAGAAGCTTTAGCATTTCGTTTCACACGATAAATGGTATTTTTGAGAGAACTCAATTTTTTGTGAACTCTGAGGGAGAACACAAGATCATTTTTTCATAGAAAAAGATTTTCTCAGAAGCCTTTCAAATGAATATGAATAAGTTGATTTTTTCATGTTGATTTCAAATAGTATACTAGTTACGGCTCGAATTGTTGATTTTTGAACTGAAAATGGGCTAAAATGGAGTCAAACAAGTGTAGGGGCTGTGCTTCACAATTAAGGTGTCTAGATATGTCTCAAGAAATCAGCTGTTTTTGAATTTGGAAAGCATATAGTTTTGAAACTTTCCAAAAGAGTTATCGAATTGTGAAAACCAAAACTCTATAGCTATTAATACAATTATAATAATATTTACAATCTTATAGATATGATCTGTTCGTGCGCATATACCATAGCTTGTGGCCTAACCGACGAAGGTTCTCTATTGTCTCTTATTGTCTGTGTCACAGTTGTTGTGATTGCAATATTAGGAAGATGTTGGTTTTGTTCTCCTTGTGCTAAGTTATTTCCACAGGCATTCGTCGGATCCATTGTGAGAGAATTTCTTGGATGTTCTCTTCGTAGAACTGAGTGTTTTCTACCGTACAACCAGTAGACAACCGGTCCAATGGCAAAATTCCAGCAAAAAAACTGAATTATTGTCCACTTCGTGGCGAACACCATCAGAAATAGACACATAAGAAAACCTAGGATGGGACAGATAAGTGTTCGACTGGGAAATGTAATTCTACGGTTATTGATATATTGCCGGGCTAGAATTTCGTTAATATCGTTTAGATCAGATCCTACTTCGTCGTTGTTCTGTGGTTTATATGTCCAATGCATACAAATAACACTGATATGAACCATCATAAATGCAAAAAGTATCCCAATCGACGTATTATCGGCCAGCTGATCAATAGGAAGAAAGCCAGCAACTACTGCACAAAAAATTCCTAAATAAAAAATAATTAGGAATGAATATATTCTAGGAAAGTATAGGATTTTTCCTACCAACCTATTGCAATACTAGCCCACACTGGTGAGCCAGTTGGTTTATTTGTCTCGTGAATATTACCAGTGATTGTTATTGTTGGCTCAACAGTGGCGATGGTAGTGTTGGTTTCAATCGTGGTTGTTGTTGTTGTCGATGAAGAAAAAGTAATATTATTCACCACTGTTTTTTTTTTCTTCCATAATTTTATTTTGCTGAAGACAGGTGGCAGCAATCCATCTTTTGACATTGAATAGAAAATTCTCGATTGTACATACAGAGTGACTAGTATCACTGATGTCAATCCCAAAATCGCACCAAGGTGAACTATAACTTGTAGCCACTTCAAACCTATAACTTTGCATACTTCTGCTATTGGATTTGGCACTTTCAGATCTTTATAGTTAACTACGCCAAGCATTACCGAGGCGACTCCCAGATAAAGGATTGTTGCTATGCCCAGTGAAATTAAAATACTTAATGGTAAAAGTCTTGCTGCCTCTGTGGTAGCTTCTTGAGCAGCTGTTGTGATTTCATCGAATCCAATGAATGCAAAGAAACTGATTGTAGTAGCATGAAGCAACCCCTTGATGCCATAGGTGTTTCCACCTTCACTTTTCGGTAAGAATGGATGATAATTTTTTGGATCAATATATTTGATACAAACACAAATAAATATTAGCAGAATGACAATTTTCAGAATGACAATAATACTGATGAGGAGAGATGAAGTATCCAAATCATAGATAATGATAGCAGTAAGAACGAGAATGACGATAACAGCGGGTAAACATATCCAACTGCCTGTCAAATAAAAATTTTGAGCGGTAGCATTCCAGCTGACTGGAGCTGAAAGCAGACGATGATCAATGCTTGCCGAAGAAACTAACTCAATAAATGATCCGACGTGATTCGCCCATGAAACACTAACGGCTGAAGCTGCACCCATATACTCGAGACAAAGATTCCAACCGACCAACCATGCACAAAATTCGCCGAGTACTGTATAGATGTAAGTGTAAGAGGAACCACTTGCAGGAATCATGGAAGCCATTTCAGCGTAGGATAAAGCTGTAAAAAAGGCTGGAAGCATTGCAATCAACAGTGAGAGAATCTCAGCTGGACCAGCAAAATCCGCAGCAGCATTGCCCACAAGACTGTAGATGCCAGCACCTATTAAAAATAAAATAAAATGTTAAGGTGAAATTCAATTCAAAGAATAATTTCGCTTTTCGACTGCTCTTACCAATTATAGCTCCCAATCCAAATGTGTTTAAAGCAAAAAAATTCAATGAACGAATGAGTTCTTCTTTATTCGTGTCAATAATTATATCGCGCAGTGGCTTTTGTGCGATTAATTGAAAGCAGATTTTTCCGAAAGCAGTTGTGTCAGGGTTGCCGTGATTTTCAGGATTTTCGAATATTAAACTTCGCCACCACTGCTTAAACATAGTTCTGTGACACCTGTGGGAGTCTATTGTCTATTTATAGATGAAAAGATAACCAAGGTTAGAAAAAGCCAACCACTCACAAAGGAAGAGTAGGGCGATAAAAAAATATATGTAACTGCTATGATGAATGGCTTTATAGGTTTTTCTTTATATGAAAGTAGATAAAATATATCCACAAGGGAGAGTTTGTGTGTGTGGCTTTTGTTTGAAAGAATATCAAAAGCTGCAATGCTTATGAGAGTCCTTTTTTGATACAGCTTTACTATTATTATATTGATAAACAATCGCATAATATGAGCGCAACTTGTTGAGAGGTTTTTCAGTGATTGAACTTGTCAGGTCTTTTTCCTTCAGAAAGATAAAAGTAAAAATGGACTCTCATACACATTGTGTTCGGACATGCTGTTTCAAACAAACAAAAAAAAACAATCAAGCATACTGAATGAACAGCCACAGAGAATTTTTGGAGACCCGATAAGCTATTTTTCGATCGTAGTTTTATTCGTATCTACCTTACACATGATGATAAGAAGCTGACAATTTTACTATAGACGTCCTTTTACAGCCCCAACATATCCTCAAAGTTTCATGTCATTTGAATGTCCCTGGACTGAGATCGACTTTTCAGGGAAAGCTTAATGATCCTGATCTACAAATTAAATATCAATATGTAGATATAGCACATAATTGTGATCAATTAGAACGACAGAATGAATCTGTTATTAATTATCATTTTATTAAAACTGATGTTGAAGATACTTTCGAAGGCTTTACTCGAATTATAGATAGCTTAATAGCTAATGATTCATTAATTAACACTTTTTTGTCACAAGATGTTCAATAGTTATGGTCTGATAAATATAAACTACGTCCACTTCGAGTTTTTAATAATCCAACAACAACTATTCGATGTGTTTCTGTTTATGAAGATTATCGAGATCCTTGAACTCTATAATTTCAGGTTGGACTCACATCTAAAATGTTTCATTTCATATTACTAGTAAAGAATGAAATTATTAATATAATCATGGATTCCGACACTATTCTCAAAATGAAACATTTCAATTAAGTTTCTTTTTCCGTCAATGGAAATATCGTTGATTAACTTTTTCTTCCAACTATTTTGTTACATGTTAAAGTTCGATTTTTAACTCATTGTTATTTGGCTAGTTTTGTGGAACTCACGTATGTTTTCGAAGAAAATAGTGAGTGTAAGTTTTCAGTTCGAGGCTTTCGGCTCCCCCTCCCACCCCATTACAGACACATAGCAACGAGAAAGAGAACATTACAGACATACCCCCCATTACAGACACCCCCATTACAGACACCCCCATTACAGACACCCCACATTACAAACCTTAGCAATCAAGAATAGCAAGCGTCAGATTTTCTTTACTTTTTTGCAAAATCGATCAATTTATAATTTTGAAAGATAATCAACATTATTATTTGTGAGTTGATTAATATATATAATAGTGCATGAGATCTGCTGTAGATATAATCGATTTGGGGGGGTATGTCTGTAATGTTCTCTTTCTCGTTGCTATGTGTCTGTAATGGGGTGGGAGGGGGTGGCGGAGGCCTCGAACTGAA